CCTCCAATACAACCTTCTCAAGGACATGAACATGCCACAGAAACAGAGTCTGGTGACATTATCACTCAGCCAATACCACCACCAAGTACTCATGCAATAACAATTCGCAGCAAGAGCAACATTCATAAGCCAAATCCAAAATATGGCTTCACTGCAATTCTTAAAGACGTCGAGCCTGCTTCTCATGTTGAGGCTTTTAAGATGAGAAGTGGAGAGGTTCTATGAGTATTGAATTTGATGCGTTTATTCGTAATAATACGTTTGACTTGGTTGACAGGTCTAAAGCACACAATATTGTTGGATCACGGTGGGTTTATAAAATCAAGCTTGCCAAATGGAGAAGTAGATAAGTTCAAGTCAAGTCTAGTTGCCAAAGGATATCATCAGAGGCTTGGCATTGACTATTATGAAACATTCAGTCCAGTGATAAAACATGCTACAATTCGTCTGGTCCTTGGTACTGCAGTCTCTAGAAACTGGCCACTGATGCAATTTGACGTAAATAAAGCATTTCCTGGCTTCATTGATAAGGATAAACCGAATCATGTTCTTCGCTTAAAGAAGGCTATTTACGGCCTTAAACAGGCACCAAAGGCTTGGTACAATGCTCTTAAATATTTTCTCATCGGTATTGAATTCAATAACTCTTTGGCAGATGCTTCTCTGTTTATACTACGCTGTGGCAGTCATTTCATCTACATCCTAGTGTATGTCGATGATATAATAATTACTGGTTCTTCTATAGTTGAGATTACTCGAGTTACAAACCTTCTTGCTTCACGGTTTTCACTCAAAGAACTTGGTCAGCTCTCTTACTTCTTGGGCATGGAAGCAACTCAAACCCCATCTGGTCTTCATCTTACTCAGACAATATATACAGTGATCTTCTTAATCGAGCTAAGATGGAGAATGCAAAGCCTGTAGCCACACCTTGTCTTCCTCTGAGTCACTTACCCTACTCAGTGGTGATAAGCTTGACAACCCATCGGAGTACAGAACCATTGTTGGTGCACTACAGTACTTGGGACTTACACGACTAGACATTGCTTTTTCTATAAATCGGTTGTCTCAGTATATGCATCAACCTACAACTACTCATTGGGAAGCCGTGAAAAGAGTTCTTCGTTACTTAGTGGGTTCAGTTTACAAAGGAATCTTCTTCTCATCATCTTCACTAACACCAACACTTCATGCATATTCAGACGCAGATTGGGAGTGTTTATATTGCTTATCTTGGTCGACAACCTATTTCTTGGTTTGCAAGGAAGCAAAGGAGTGTGGCCAGATCTTCCACGGAAGCTGAGTATCGTGCGGTTTCTGATGCGGCTTCTGAAGTCAAGTGGGTGGTGTCTCTAATGGATGGACTTGGCTTATCTTCAGCTACCACTCCGACTATCTATTGTGATAATATTGGTGCAACATATCTCTCTGCCAATCCAGTCCTTCATTCACATATGAAGCATATGGCATTAGCATATCATTTTGTTCGAGAGCAGGTTCAAGCCAAGATGCTTCGGGTTTCGCACATCAGTACACATGATCAGTTGGCATATGCTTTAACCAAACCTCTTCCTCGTGCTCGGTTTCAAAATTTGATTTCCAAGATTGGACTATGTAGCCGACGTCCAACTTGAGGGGGCATATTGGTATAGATAAAGATTATCTCTTAAGTTGTACTTATCTAGGATAATGATTAGTTAGAGTTATGCTTATCTAGCAGAGATCTCTTCTATTCTCTTGTATAAATATACATCACGTTGTTAATGAAATACATAAGTTTACATATTTCTATATTATCTGGTAATCACTTGCATGTTTGAACCGGTCTTATGTTTGTGAACTAGATCCAGCTGAATGGTTTTTATATGTTTAGTTTCGAGTTCTCATTGCTATCTCTTCGGTTCGATTTTCTACTTGGCTCGAGTTCCTGGGCATGGTAGTATCCGGAGAGGTGTCTTGTCTTCTACATCTAGATCTGATTGAGATATATTACTTAACAAAGCTGCTTCTGTGAGGTTTCATGTCAGTGAGTTTCCGATCATCCTCTTCCAGTCTACTATTCAGAACTTGTTGAAGTTCTTTGTTGCCGGTCCTTGAAGCTGTGGTTCTTAATTTTTCTGAGCTTTTCAGTATAGGAGGACTCTCTGTTTGGTGGTTTGGTCTTGCTTGGCTCCATCCCGCTCGTTCATCTCAAAGGAACTCTTGTAGATTACATGCAATTCTGTTCATGATTGCTTTTAGTTCTTATGCAAAGGTTGTGGATCTGTTTTAGGGTTAATTTCATCTTGTCTCTTTATGTGGGCTTAGACCAACTCATTGCAAGATTCTTAAGGGAGTTCGTAAAAAAAACAATTAAATAATGATGGGTCCCATGGCACAGTTAAGGATTCGGTTACTAAATGCCTTATTTAAGAGACAACGTAACTCTTAAGCCAAACATGGATCCCACTGATACGTGGCATCCCGCGATTGGTCAACTTTTTCGTTTTTTTTTTAATTCGGCCGAAAATTTTTTTTATTAAAATGTAAAATTTGGAAAATCGAGCCAGATTCAGCAATGGAGCTGCTCTTAGGACTCTGGGAACTCTGTTGTAGTCTGCCGGCTCTGTTTGTATCAAGTTGGATGTTTGTTTTAATGGAAATTTACAGTGTTTAAAAAAAATCAGAATGTATGAAGAAAATCATAAAAAGTCGAAGAGAATATCTTAAACACAATCCAAAAATTTAGAGATAAAAAATGACTATCACAATGAAGTCTTTTTTCTCATTTGTTTTTACTTTCTGTTTTCTCAGATATTCTATTCATTGTCATACTATACTATGGCTAGCGCTGTTATTCCTGCTCAACTGCTGGTAATGGTTTATATTTGGATTTTTTTACTTTCTAAGACACTTTTTCTCTTATGAATTTCATTTGTAGACACTTCATACTATGCAAGCATTTTGTTTGTGTTTATTATCATTTATGCCCTCAAACTAACCAACTACTCACTTAACTAAACCACATATATCTAACCCTAGTTACTTTAATTTGAACACAGATCTACTTTCCCCTTTCCCAAATTCACAATCCTAATTTCAGTTTCCATCTCTCTCAAAGTTCTCCTAATTTCTCTTTCGCATGCGACCAACTTAGATTCATGTGACGCTTGGTACGAACAATGATGAAAGCAAAGTGAAAGAAGAAAATGAAGACTTCTAAAACATATGAAGAAAGTTAAGCGCAGCAGAGGGAGGAGAGTACCAGCTGCAGCTTGCGATGACATTGCGATTTAGGACTGAGGCTACTTACGCCGACAATCCAAACTTTGTGGGTCCCCTGTTGGACTAATCTGCGACTTCACCTAGCTTAATTGAAACCGTTCTGGGTATTCTTGTAACTGCATCTTCTTCTTTCATGTATAGCTTTGTGTTCACAGAATTTTTTAAATTTTGATTTATACGTGTTGAGTCTGTTTACCTAGTGCTTTGGTTTGCTTGGTTTATTAAAAGCTCTGAATTTGTTATAATAATTTTGTTCTCATGTTTCCAAGTTTCAACTAGATCTTTTAAACAACACAGCTCCTGTAATATCATAAACACATTTGGGTGTAGTTTTGATACGGATATTTCATGAGTGTTGAAGGCTTAAAGGTTGATGCATTAAACTATCGGGTTTTACAAATCTTGCATAGCTTCCTCTTTTATGAGCTTTCACTTGTCCACGTCCATTTTTTTTAAACAGGATGTTGTCCACTACATCTTGTTTCCAAGATCATGTCCACAAAAACATATTACTAAAAACAAAAGACTCTAGTCTATCTCTACTAATTTGAATTTGTACATAACTCTTCTATTCACATGTCTCTAATCAACAAAACTCAACCATTTTTATGTACTCGGTCGACAAATACATCTCTAACCACCTTCTATACATTTATAACCACGCTTGTGTCATCCACATCTTTTCTATCCATGTCCATATTATGGTGTCCATGTGCACATTTTTCTGTATATATGTTAATATATATATATATATATATATATATATATATATAAAATAGAAATGAAGATGGATCTTAAAAAATAGATAATTTTATATATAATTTAATCTGACAGATTTGTAGTTTATATATTTTAGAATTTGTGATAAATGTAACTTAAAATAAAAAGTAGAATAAGAACTAAAAAGTATAATTTTTGAAATATACAAAATACATATATAAAATGGATATTAAAATACAGAGAAAAATAAATTAAAATTTATTCTAATAATTTTTAATTTTTTATATATATCTCAAAACTGAGAAAAATCAAATAAAAACTTTAGGTGGAGAGTAATAATATAAAAAGAAATAAACTAAACTTAAGCAAAAGCGAAGACAATAAAATGCCTATTATTCTCTTGTCTCTCTTAACCCAACGAAAGGGGTACATCCGTCTTGACAGCTCATGTGGATGAGGAAAAAGTGTGTCTCAACTTATCTTAACAGCTCATGTGGATGAGGAAAAAGTGTGTCAAGTGTAAGTGTCTTATCGTGTAGAAAAAGAGAAAAAAGTGTCTAAGAAGAAACCAACTCTTATATTTGTACCTCAGTTTTGAAAATCATGATTAATTAATTAATATACATATTTATTTAATGACTTGTATTCATATAAATAGGTTATGGAGAAATTAAGTCACACATTTGCTTTCTCGTCTTGTCACCATGTAATTGGCGATATCCCAATGGGGAAGCCATGTGCGAACCACTTTTGTAGGAGAGATAAGAAATTACAAGCATTGTAATGATCAAGGAAAATGTTGTGTTTTTTAAGTATGTGTACAAGATGAAATCATTTTATCATATGTTTTTAAATATTTATAACAGAAGATCTAGAATAAAATAAACAATATTTACCAGATTTAAATTTATTACTATATGACTATATGAACAATAAAATAAACAATATTACTATATGACAAAAAAATCATATAATTTTAAGTAAATTGTAAATACAAAGATATTAAATCTTTCCTAGTGAAACCAACGTTTATTTTTTTTTCCACCATCAAGAGATTATATATGTTCAAAACATGCATCTACAAAAGAGAGAACATGTAAATATATACATACAGTAGCTAAAAGAAGATATTTTAATGAAAGTCAAAACTCTGTTCTTCATTGAAGTCTGAACTTCTTCAGCTTTTGCCTAAGGGCCTCAATTGCATTTTGTATCCGGTTGCTTTCTCTACTTCTCACTTCTAGAGACGCCTCATGCAAGTTCTGAATACCTCGACCCAATTTCGCAATAGAAGGAGCTGAAGGAAGAGACACAGCTGCACATTCTATGCCATCTCCATAGAGAAGCAGTCCTGCACAAGTTGAAAGACTGGCTCCAAACGTTGCCAATGGTAATGCACCAATAGGTTTTGCTCTTCTCTTCCGCATTATCTCATAGAATGCAGCTCTCATTGCGGAGAAGCTAGTCTTCTCAGCTGAAGCTATAATACTATGTGTTACTGCTCTGATCTTCTCAGCTGATAAAGAAGCTTTCACCAGAGAAGTTGATTTGGCTCCAGAGCTAGCAAAACCAGGAGCCATCACTTTTGAGGGGTACGCCACTTTGGTAAATGCATATGTCATTGCCTTGTGGGTATGTGTCAAAAAGAGATTCAATGAAGCTGGAACTTTGAATGTTATAATCTTGAAGAAAGGAGAAGCAGAAATGGCTTTGGACAGTGATGAAGCACCCCAAATAGCAGTTGCTCCTGCACCAACGGCTACCACTGGTTTATCAGATAACAATCGTTTCAACTTTGAGTCATTACTACTCTCGTCGTTATCAAAAGCCTGTACCATATGCTCAGACAAATCTCTTACTTCTTGAGGAACACAAGTCTTCCAATGCTTCCTAAGACCTGCGAGGTTACTTGCATCTACTACTGCTACTATGTTCTTAAACCTTTTAGCCTGGCTACGAAGAAGATCTGCCATAAGTGCATAAGATTTGTCCTCAGAAGATAGATTTTCAAACTGAGCTTCGGTTCGGTTTTTGATAGGTAACCGACCAACATTGTTCAAAGCAATCCTCAGACCTTCGACCGCAATCTGGAACAGGTAAACTTCAGAAAGAACATCTGTATCCATGGGTTCCCCTCTATCTACATCAGACAACATCTTTCTAGCACTGGTTAAAGCTTTCCTAATAGATGGAAGATCATCAAATATGTCACGAAGATCAACAAGTAAAGAGTAAATGGAATGAGCAAACAGTGGAACCTCATCGCTACTGGCGACACAACTTGATGGAGGGGTAAGATCTTTACTAAGCAGAGTGATATGCGAAGATAACAGTTTCAGCATCTGTGTCTGAACATCATTAGTTATTAGAAACCTTCTCGAACCTGACAAGATAGCAGAGCCACCAGAGCTTTGTGGTACAAGACTATTAGCTAAACCCTGCACCTTCCCTCCCGTATCACTTTCTTCATAAGACCCTTCAATATTAACAAAAGGAGACTCAAGCACCATAAACGAAGAACCAACCTCAGAAGCCACTCTTTTAGCAGCCAACACATGTCCATTAAAACTCGTTCCGAAAATCTCCCTCAAAACCAAGATCCCTGCAACGCTCTCGTACTTCTCTTTATTAACCTTATCCACAAAACACTGCTTGAGAACTCTAAAAGCTGAGGTCGGAATCGAGTCGCTAGACCCGTTTCCCAACACAGTCTCCTCAACTTGAGCTTCTCCGAAAGCTGATTTGTTCACTTGAGTTATAACAGCATCGGGGCGGAGTTCTCGGATGAGATACTCAGCGTCTGTAGCGGATCTCTGAGATAGGTTCTGAGCAGAGAGGATGTAGATAGTGGAGTCATGCTCAGGGACTCTGATGGCAAATACAAAGTTCTTTGTGTTATCCGGAAGTGAGAGTCTCTGAACAAGCTCCTTTGATTCCTTTATGTCATTGCTGAAGATTGAAAAGGGCCATATGCTTCGTAGACTATTCAAGAAACCATATGCCACCATTGGTGTATTCGTCTCTGAAGATTGAGACTTTCAATCACAGTGAAATGAAATTACGAGCAAAGTCTTGGTCCTTTGTGCGAATTCAAGGGCATAGATGAGAAGCTGACTGATTCGTAAACCCTACTGAAATCGAATTGGGGGTGGGAGAAGATTCTGTTATTTTTCCGTGTGGATGTGACTGAAACAAGACTCTGATGAATCGATTTAAGACAACTAGACGACGAATTGGGGGATTAGAGCAGACGGTGGAGACAGGTATGGTGTTGTCTGATGATCGGAGAAGTACCTGGTTTGGTTAAAACTGTGGTGGAGAAACGAACATCGGTTACCAGATTAGGGTTTGATGTGACAAAGCTCGATGATTCTGTCTGTACCAGCTCTTGTCTCTCTCGCGCAACTCGCGGCTTTTTCTTCTTCGCTGGGCTCCGATGAATGACAAGACACAGTCCTCCGTGTTTGTTTTCTTAAATCATTTAATTTTATTTCATTTGAAATTGGTAAAAATCTCTTAATTGTGATTACGGCTTAATCAATTATTCTGACCTGGTCAAGTTCGGTTATTTTGGTTTTCTTAATTTAGTCGGTTTTCTCAATACATGAATGGTAATAATCCGTGTAGTCAATTGACTAGATTTATACTTTTTAATTTGCAACTGTCAATTGTAAATGAATTGTTGAATATCATCATTTTGATTTATATACAATTGATATCAATGTATAAATTTATTTTTATCAAATATATATTATTGTTGACAATGATGATTTTCTGAAAAAACAACAAATATCTAGGTTTCACAAAACTAATCGTCATACATATGTATAAAATACTAGATATCTAAAACTCTTTAGTATAATTAGAAAAGTTTTTTGAGTAATAAAATAGCTGTTTAATTTCAAAAAAAAATTATATGTGTATTTTTATAGGGATCAGTTGTATTTTGGGACAAATTCTTGTATTGAAATAATATAATATTTATAATTAGAAAAACAAAAAGCAAAAAAAATGTAAACAACATTGTAACGCTCTCATGAATCTTCATTTTATAATTTTAACAAAAAAAAATTCATTAATAATTGCAAGCATCATTTATAAAGTGTGAAGGGTGGATATGCCTTAAATTGTGTCTACAAGAGGAAGTGCATGCAAATTGTGTGTTTTTTTTTTTTTTTTGGACAAAGCAAATTGTGTGTATCTAGGTTATAGGGAAATAACTATAGATGATGCCGTAGATGTCACGTTATTGATTTGTTAGGCATACATTCTCCTCCTTCACAAACAATAAACTTCAGTTATCTTGTTAATTAGACTCTACTAGTTTCTCAAACTAAGCTTAATTTTTCAAAATTAAGCTTGATTAAACATAATTAATCTTTTTTTTTGACATCAGCCCACGATTAATTATGGAGCTGTCAGATCGTAAAAGGAATGCATTAACCTTCTAGTCCTTGATTAATTTAAGAACTCGTATAATTAGGTATCTCCTACAACAACAACAAAATCAATTAATGTTCGTGTTTACGTTAAATAATTTTCTTTAAACAAGATGAAGAACCACTATCAAATAATAAATTATTCTAAAAAATTACAAACAAGTCCAAGCGAAAGAAACATTTGACCAAAAAAGCCAAAACTTGATACAATACTTACGGTAACCGATTCAAACCCCTCCATACCCCATGACACGTCACCTTAACTAAACCTTCATCACCACTCATACGCAAATCTTATTGGTCCGTCACAATCACCAACTGTCACCGTAGAAAGAAACAGCCAATGGCTGTTCTGTTTTTTCTTTTTTTTTTGTTCCTCCAAAGAAACGCAATAAAACGTGCGAGAGAATAAGAACGCACTTTCAATCAATCAACCGACGGATTCACCTTCATCCCCATCTCTCTCTCTCTCTCTCTCTCTGTATATTCTTAGCATCTTCTCTAAGAGCTGAAGCTTGAGAAGAGTTCTCTAAATTCCTCTGAGTTTCTGTAAATTAGATCTCATTTGAGTATCCAATTCTAGAAGGTTTTGGGCTTGTGAATGCACTGTTGAGCTGATCTCACTGTTCCATTAAGGTTAGTTTCATCGATCTGGTCTCTGTTTTCTCCACCGGAGTTTAATTTCTGTCCATAAAAATGTGATCTTTACAATGTGGACGCAACGTTTATGCTTGATTCAGCTCCAAGTTTACATTTTTCTCTCCTGGGTTTTGAGATCTATCATGGATACTGAGATCTGATGGTTGAGATCATTCTTCTGTTGTTATTCATTGTGTAGCTAATAGTGAGGCAGATGAAGAACGGGATGGCTGAGTGCAGCGTATGTCGTTCAAGGAGTATCAAAGCTATAGCCAGGGCTTATGACAACCGCAAGATTAGAGTTTCCTCTAAACAACGAGCTCTCAATGTCTTTTTGGTTGTCGGTGACTGCATGCTAGTTGGTCTACAGGTATATTTATATTTCAATGTTACTACTCTGATTAGTGATTCTATTTGTTGTTAAATTTCTTTAAAAAGGTTTTGTTTTTTTTTCTTACAGCCTGTGTTAGTGTACATGTCTAAAGTGGATGGAAAGTTCAACTTCAGTCCTATTAGCGTAAACTTTTTGACAGAAATTGCGAAGGTTCTGTTTGCAGTTGTCATGCTTCTGATCCAGGTACGTTTCTGAATTGCCTTTAGCTCTTGCAATAGTAGAAGTGGCCACCCTTTTAATACTCAAGTTTTGGGGGTAATACTGTAGGCCAGGCACCAAAAAGTTGGAGAGAAGCCTCTACTATCATTTTCCACATTTGTCCAGGTACCTCTTCGTGTCAATTAACAGATTGATATATACTTCAAAAGATTCTATACAAAGATTTTGGTATCGCATAGTCTCAAATTTAAAGTTAGTTTCTTGAGCTCTCAATGTCTTATAAGCTTTGTGTATGTTATACATCTGGTTTGTCAAAACATTATAGTCTCAAATTATGTGATCACTAGATCTATAGTGCAAGTTGCAGTAACAGTAGCCCTTATTTTGCAGGCAGCTCGGAACAATGTGCTTCTCGCTGTTCCAGCAGGGTTGTATGCCATTAATAACTATCTTAAGTTCACAATGCAGGTACACTTGCTTCTTGTTTTTAAATTTCCCCATGTCCTGCTTGACATTGTGCAATATGTTTTCTTTCTAGCGATAGATATATTTGAGTCTGCTGACTGAACAGTTGCTTTGAAGTTATAACATAACTACATAATTCACTCATTTTGTATATATCTATCCTCCTCGGCTACTATTTGACTCTATCTTTCTTTTCTATTAGTTTCACACAACAATTCAATTATCTTTTGTAACAGCTATATTTCAATCCTGCTACTGTGAAGATGCTCAGCAATCTAAAGGTGCTAGTAATTGCTGTATTACTGAAGATGATAATGAAGCGACGGTTTTCCATCATACAGGTCAGTCCAATTCTTTTTTTTTTTTGGTTTCTGTATGTGTGATTTTTTAATGGATCAAACTTTATTACAGACATTTCTGTTTGACCTTAATGGAATTGAGTTTGTTTTGAATTTCTGTTGTAGTGGGAAGCACTTGCTCTGTTGCTAATAGGGATTAGTGTAAATCAGCTACGTTCTCTTCCTGAAGGTGCTACCACTATGGCTGTTCCAGTTGCTATGGGTGCATATATCTGTACCTTTATCTTTGTAAGTTACACTATTTTGGTGCTTACATTTTCTTACCTTGCAAATTTAGTGTGTAACTGATTCCATTCACATAACCTTTGCATCTTGTAGGTTACTGTCCCATCCTTTGCATCTGTCTACAACGAGTATGCTCTAAAGAGCCAGTATGACACAAGCATTTATCTCCAGGTGAGCTCATCCTGATACATAGTTTTTTCCATATCGCATTCGACAAGTGAGAGCCTCCTAGTAGTAACATTGGAGGCTTGTTGTAACCGTTGCTTGTATCTGCTAGTCAAATGCTTAAGCTATATATATATATATATATATATATATATATATATTCTGTTGTGTTATTACCTGTCAGGCACATCACTGAAAAGTTCATGACCATCACAGCTTCTGTATTGCCAATTCTATTGAATTCTTTCTTTTTTTTTGGTTTTATGGTCTAGTTGGCTGTGTTAACAGTGTGGTTATTTACTGTTTAGAACAGTATTATTGTCTCGTGTTGTTTAACTTGATCTGTTTTATGGTCTAGTCACCTCTTTTAGATATGTGGTCATTCATCTTACTTTTCACCGCTCATGCACTAGATGATGTCAGATTATAGGACCATGATCCTTCTCCTGCGTTTTCCTCATCTTTCGTATTTGTATGTATATGTTGTGTACTGAGTGTAAAACATTAATTTTGTGGTGTAGAACTTATTCCTCTATGGTTATGGGGCAATATTCAACTTCCTTGGAATACTAGCAACTGTTATATATAAAGGTATGTGTATTGTAACACCGCAAAGAAAATATCTGATAAATGTTAAAGAAATTAAATGTGAGAAAAGCTTCTTGAAATGCTGTTAGACGCATTGCTAACAATTTTTTCATTACCGACAGGTCCTGGCAGTTTTGACATCCTACAAGGACACTCTAAAGCTACCATGTTTCTGATACTGAACAACGCCGCACAAGGGATTCTATCCTCCTTTTTCTTTAAATATGCAGGTAGAAAAATACCCAAGTTTTGTAATATTATTTCATATATTGATTAGTTCTGATGAGTTCTTGCTGGTGCTTTTTTGAAATTTTTGGACTTTGCAGTAAGATTTGTTTGATGGATATTTATCTTTAAGTTGTCTTCAATTTTGTATGTTCTCAGATACAATCTTGAAGAAATATTCATCTACGGTTGCCACAATATTTACTGGCATAGCATCTGCAGCACTCTTTGGACATGTATTAACCATGAATTTTCTTCTCGGCATTTCTATAGTTTTCATTTCAATGCATCAGGTAATCCCAGACAAACCTCTCCCGGGTGTATCAGTTAATTTATTTATCCATCTTTAATGTTTTCTTACTCATACTTCATGCAGTTCTTTTCACCCCTTGCAAAAGTGAAAGACGAGCAACAAAATGGAAACCTAGAAATAGTTAATGCAAAGGATGGTCACAGGTGTGTGTTGTTCAATATCACGTCATTGTTTTATAGTAAATGAAGACTCATCTGCACCGCCTAACGTCTTTTCTTTCTCTGTTATCTCGTCTAGGGCTAAAGACTCATTCATCAACATGGCAGCAGGAGCAAATGAAGAGGTGAAGTACACCACACACACACACACACATTCCCATCTTTAAGTGAAATCTAATGTAATTTTCTGATTTAAGCTTAACATATTTTGTGTTTCTTCTCTGTTTATGCAGACTACTCACCGTGTTGAATCAGACGACAGAGAGCCACTTCTTCCCAGATAAAAAACAAAAAACAAAACTCTCACC